TGCGGGCTGTCAAATCATTTATAATAATGTTCCCTGTGATAACCAGGTCTTCAGTTGGCGCAAACAATTAAATAGTAAACATTTTATATTTGCAGCTTCACAAATAGCAAAACATGTTCTATTCTAAAATAACTAAAATAACTCCTAGGTGTCTATAAATTATGAGATTTGGAAAATACCAGCAAGTGTCAAAGTACTGTCAAATACTTCCACAGTTATGTTTGTTAATGGTGTAAATTCATGCTTTTTTCTGCATGTGGTTTTTAACATGGCTGGAAATAAATATATTTAAAATGCCAATTTACGGCTTTGAGTGATCACTGGGGTGCGTGCATACCACATGACTCATCAGAGGTAGTTATTTGCTCTGAGCTCGAAAATGGTGAAGAATTATTTTTATCTACTAAGAAACTGACCCCAGGGCTTTTGGTGGGTGTTTGATCTCTTAACCAAAGGGAAAAACAATATGATTTCATTTTCCCTCTCTGAAACACCCTTTTAAGAAGACATCAAGTTGGCGGCAGCTCTAGGAAATCTAACTGACAAATTGGATCTTGGCAAGTAAATCACACTGGGCCACTCTGTCATCACACAAAACTGAGGCATAGAAGGTATGTTTAAAAACAAAACAAAACACACATGTAAGAAAGGACCCAGGTTAAAATTCAGCAGAGAATTTTATGTGAGCTTGCATTCTGAAATTACGTGACACAACGTATTTACTAAGTGTCAGTTTATAGGCCTCAGTTGAAAAAACAGAAAATCTTTTTGCACGTTCACTTCTACAGGTAAATTAGGTTTGGAAGAGGCAAGTGCTGAATTATGCAAGGTGGTCAGAAAGTCAAGTCTTGAAAAGCTGGCAACTGTGAAGAGGGAGTGAGGAAGTCATGGTCCAAGTGATAAACAGCGCCACAAGAGGGGAGAACAAGAATAGGTTACTATTTAGTTTTTTAAATTATTTATTTAATTTCTGTAATTTACAAAATTGACATATCTTTTTTACATCATCCTCCCCTTGTGGCATGTGGGATCTTAGTTCTCCAACCAGGAATCGAACCTGTGCCCCCTGCATTAGGAGTGCAGAGTCTTAACCACTAGATTGCTATGTAAGTCCCTAGAAAAGGTTTTTACCTTTCCAATTTGTGAGGAGTTTTTTGTTTGTCTGTTTTTTATAACTGAGTCTTACTCTTTTAATGCCCAAATGTTTTCATTTTGAAAAACTGCATGAAAACATGGTATAACTTTTATGACTCCTGGGGGCTGCTTTCTGTATTCAATGGTTCCACGAGGGGGCTTTGATTTTTTGGTAGTAGCTGATTCTGAATTGTATTCTTATTCTCCCCTTGATTATAAACTGTCAGCTGTCATTTCTCACTCTGGTTCAATCCCTCCTTTTATCTTAGAGCCCTCCATCCTCTGTACATTGCTTACTTTAACTAGATATAAACTGGATGCAGATAACTAGGGTTTTCAGATTTTAAGAATTAAATAAAAGCCAGGGTCTGAGTTAAGTAAGGCTAGACCAAGGGCCTGATTAGGGGAGAGTAGCAAGCCTCTGCAAAAAGTGTTTCAATGGCTCAAAGACTGACTCTGGGGGGAGGGATGGACTTTGGCTTTGCTCCAGCCTGAGACTCTGAGCTGGAAGTCTGACCTTCACCCCCAGTGTGACACTGAAGCACCTGACATGTGCACTACACAGGCGAGACGTCTGGCCCGCAGGGAGACAGCATGGTGTGGTGCTGGTGGTGGCGGTGGGGTGGGCGGTCAGGCCGGGACTGGGGCTTGAATCCCACTCAGGATCTGTGCGAGGGAGCACCAGTCACATGACCAGTGCCAGTCATGTGACCCCGTGCTCCTTCTGTTGCATCCACCTGGTGAATAACTGAACCCACAGAGTTGTCATTAACACTTTTTTCTAAGGGCATCTCTAAAAAGAGCAGACTCATTGCAAAAGAGCAGACTCATTGGAAAAGACCTTGATGCTGGAAAAGACTGAAGGCAAGAGTAGAAGCGTCAACAGAGGATGAGACGGTTGGATGGCATCACCAACTCAATGGACATGAGTTTGAGCAAACTCCGGGAGATGGTGAAGGACAGGGAGGCCTGGCTGCTGAAGTCCATGGGGTCACAAAGAGTCAGACACGAATTAGCGACTGAACAACAACAAAAGTACTTGAAGGAGGCCTGGTTCATGGCAAATGCTAAATTTGTGCAAGTACAACAGTGAGTAAACCTTACTTAGGTGGCTGTTCTCATTCAAAGGGGAAATACGACGGGACTTACCTGGTAGTCCAGTGGCTAAGACTCCCAACGCTGGGGTCCTGGGTTCAATCAAGGAACTAGATCCCATATGCCACAACAAAGTTTGCATGCCACAACTAAGTATCCCTGTGTGCTACAACTAAGACCCAGTGGGGCCAAATAAATAGATATTTAGAAAAAAGCAAAAAACAAAAAAGAGGAAATAATGGGGATCCGCTTTTGCCTCATCTTCCAAAGTCAATGCCCTGAAGTCAATGTCTCTCATTTGCTTGTTTATGAAAAAAAAAAAAACAAAAACAAACCACCCAACCAAACACCTGAGCATTCCTCTGGGCAAAGCATCATGCTGGGTGGCAAAGATGTTGACTTCGGCAGCACGGGTTCTGCTCCAGGTAATGCTACCTGCTATCACTGTGAAAAGTTTGTCCTCTCTGAAAATCTTTCATTTCATTTTGACACGGGTAAAGATATTTAGAGACAAACCGAAATTTGATTAATCTAGTACTGACCTGATCTCATAAGAGTCTTGGAAAGGTTTATAGATATTACTAACCAACTTACTTGATTCATTCTCATTTTAGGTGATGTTTCACATTGGTAGGCAGGATGTTAGTCTTTAAAAAGTTTAACTATAGATTTTTTTTTTAAGTAGAAAAGAAATACGTGCTTGTCACAGAAAATCTAAAAACTCAGATGAGCACAGGGAAAAAAATTTCACATTCTCACCACTCAGGCTCATCACAGTTCACCTTTTAGGTTATTTTACTACTCATTATACGTATTTGCCTACACCAGATCATTCAAATATATATATATTTGAATATACTGATTAAAGTTTTGGGGGAAGGTTTTTCTGATACCCACTCATGCTAGAAATTTTTTAAATACAGGGGAGTGAAAAGGAAATTAAAACTGCCTCTGCTTGTATGGTAAGATACTTTCCGTTCCTCCACCTCATTCAGCGAGGTGTTTTCTAATATTAGCCTGCGTCCACTGGAGCATTTGTGGAAGAGGATAATTATTAGCCGTGGCCTTAGCCTCCAGCAGGGGCGGACGGTGGTCCAAGGAAGACGAGTTCCATGGGTTCCTGTTTGGGACCACAGATGTCGGGCCTGTCCCATGAAAGCTGGTGGGTAGGTGCCACTGGACGTTCTCTGTCCTGACTTCCTGATTTCTCTAATCACAGCACGACAGTGGCTGAACCGGAACCAGCATCCCAACTTCTGTCTTTCAGGACTGTACCTTTGCCACTTGGCCTCCTCAGAAAGCCTGGCACACAGTGGGTCTTTAAGAAATGAAAATCAGTTGAATGAAAAAACAAACAAACAAAAAAACACCTGGAATCTCACCACCCAGAGACAAAACTGCTCCTAACATCATGTATCAAAAGTTGATTATGTATCGCAAGTTCTGATTTTCAGCATGGTTACCTGGGCACAGCCTGGGATGGATGATAGAATATCCTACGACTTTTATGAGTACTCCCATCCTTCTTTAAAAAAGAAATGAATAAACCCCTGATGATTTGGGTCATTCAATACGTGCTTTAAAAGATATTTTCAAATGTTGGTGAGGTTTTCTCCCCCCTAATTGTTATTTTGGTAGCTTATTTTAATGCTCACTCCATATTTTCCCCACGATTAATTAATGAGAAATCTAAGTATTGCCTAACTTTTTTTTCATTTTTTTGGCCATGCCACATGGCACATGGGGATCTTAGTTCTCTGACCAGGGATCAAACCAGCAACCCTGCACGAGAAGTGTGAAGTGCCAACCCCTGGACCACCAGGGAAGGCCCTTAATATTGCCCAAGTTTCTGTCTTACAATGAAGAAACGAAAAAAGGCGGTGGGGGACGAGGCAGTGGAGACAAATTAAATGTTTCCTGTATATGAATACATATATGCAGAATCTAGAAAAATGGTATAGATGATCTTATTTGCAAAGCAGAAATAGAGACACAGACATAGAGAACACATGTATGGACATCAAGGAGGGAAAGGGGAGAGGTGGGAGGAATTGGGAGACTGGGGTTGATTTATATACATTATTGATACTACACATAAAATAGATAACTAATGAGAACCTATTGCATAGCTCAGGGAACTCTACTTAGTACTCTGGGGTGACCTAAATGGTAAGGAAATGTAAAAATGAAGAGATATATGTACATGTATAACTGGTTCACTTTGCTGTACAGTAGAAACTAATATAACATTGTAAAGCAACTACACTCCAATAAAAGTTAATTTAAAAGTGTTTTTTGGTGAAGCTCATTAGAAGCAGAAAACGGTGGGGACCAGCACATAGCCTGGCTCCCTAAGGTGTGGAGATGGAAGGGAGGCAGTGGGTGGCTGAGCGGCCCTCCCTACCCTGACTGGGTTTGCCCACGTCCTATCATTTGCTTCCTCCTGGCAAAGTTCTCTGCCAACACTGTGGCTCCTGGAACTTGGAGGGAGGGTCAGTTCTGACCCTCATCTGATCCTAAAGCCATCCAGTTAAGAACCCTGCTGTGCCCTGCACAAGCAACGGAGGGTTAACACGAGAAAATACTCCTTGTAGGCTTTTGTGAAATCCTGCAAGATTTCTTTGCGGTTCACCATGGCATGTGGTTGGAAAGTTTCTCTAGTCAGTAATACAGATTTTGAAAGTTAATGATAAACACCTTCTCAAATGATCTTGAATTTAGCCATGCTGGCTAGCACTGATGCCCAGATACCTTTAAAGTCAATCATTTACCTGAAAGGGGGTCTCCAGTACTGTCTCGAAAGCCATTTTCTTCTCCCTTAAAAAACAAAAATGCAATCTTCATTAAAACCATACCCATATGTGATTAGAGATGTTATCAATTTTCCAATTTAGTTAAATTTCCACCAGAACCTGGGAGGGGGGTATGGATCTTAAGAATGGTACTTTACTGAGTAATAAGTCAGACAGAGAAATACAAATATCATATGATATTGCTTGTATGTGGTATTAAAAAAATGGTACAAATGAACTTATTTACAAAACAGAAATAGAGTCAGAGACATAGAAAACAAACTTACAGTTACTGGGGGGAAAAGAGAGAAGGGATAAATCAGGAGGTTGGAATTGACATGTTCACACCACTAAATATAAAATGGATAACTGATAAGGACCTACTGTATAGCAGAGGGAACGCTACCCAATACTTGGTAATGATGTATATGGGAAAACAATTTTTAAAAGAGTGGATATGTGTATATGTGTAACAGTTCACTTTGCTGTACATATGTTAGTAGAAACTAACATAACTATCCTCCAATTAAATCAACTATCCTCCAATTAAAAAAAACAATATGGGTAGTGAATGATGTGTCTCTCCCTAGAATATAAACGCCCAGAGAGCAGGAGCCCTTGTCTATTTCTTCTCTGTGCTGGGCCCTCAGTGGTCAGAACAATGCCCAGCACACAACAGACACTCAACAAATGTTTGTTAAATTACTGTCACTTTTTAAAAGTATAAATGCATACCAGATGCTGTTTCTTTTTTTTAAATTTTACATTATGGACTATTTCCCGTGTTTTATTATCTATCTGCTTTTTGTCGGGCTTGTTGTCCATCAGTCCAAGTTATAATTCTTGCCTGTATCTGTTCTACTTTTTGTTGTTGTTGTTCAGTTGCTAAGTCACAGAAGCAAAGAAAAACTGTTAAAAAACAGTGACTAATTCCCTAGAGAAGCAATGAGTTTCTGCCCGCCTAGCTGAGTTTCTATTTTTACCAAGGCCGTGCTGCCTGGAGGGAGTTACCTAATCTCCTCGCAGGGTGTATGTGGCTGTTTTCAGTGGAGTCAGCAGAGGAGAATGACCCCAGTATATATCTGTTCATGTTAACTCTATGTTATTTTTTAAATTTTTATTTATTTATTTTGGCTGTGCTATGCGGCATGTGGGATCTTAGTTCCCTGATCAGGGATCGAACCTGCATCCCCTGCAGGGGAAGTGCAGAGTCTTAACTACTGAACCCCCAGGGAAAGCCCACATTAACTCTATCTACCTACAACTAAATCTCCCTCAGCAGCTAACGGTACCCCTTCCATCCACAGTACTGCAGAAGAAGCACTAAGAGTTGGCCCAAGGCCCCAGGTGTGGGTCCACCTGCATTCACAACCACAGGCACGTCACTCACCTGGAGTCAGAGCACTGGCCTCTGATTTCTCACTTGCATACTGAGGGGGCTGATAGATGACCTTATCCCTAAGAGGCTCTACCCTCTCAGGTCTCTGAGAGTTTCACTTAAAGATGTGCTAGCTCCCTAGTGTCAAACATTTTAAACAGTCTTTTTCTCTTAATCCCCTAAGAAGCCTTTCTCCTTGCTCTTGAGTTCATAAATTCCCAGGTTTCAGGGTTTCCCTAGTGGTCGAGCAGTTAAGACTCCTAGCTTCCACTGCAAGGGTCATGGGTTCAATCCCTGGTCTGGGAACTAAGATCCCAAATGCCACAGGGTGTGGCCACAAACAAACAAATTTTATCCAAAACTAAATGTCCATGTTTCTGCAGAATACAGACAGTGGTCTAATTACAAGCTTAATTTTTTTCTTTTGAACAAGAAGCATCTCTGTGTATTATCAGCTAGATTTTGTACCCTAACTCATCTATTTCTTGCTTTTGTTTGAATCCTGTTCCTTCTCACTGTCCTCACTAGAACAAAAAGCAACCTGTTCACCATACTGTATATACAGTTTATAAGAGTTATGGGCAGTCTCTAAAAGAACAAAAATTCCTCTCTCTACAACTTTTTATTTTTGCAAGACAAGACCCAGGAGCTCCACAACATTAAGGCCACTATTCGCTGTTCACCGGGTCGTGTGGGGACCTGCCTCTTCCCATCTGTGAGCTCCAGCAGGACTGGGCAGGCTCGCCCTCCCACCAGTACAGTCACGGTTATGCTCACTGAATTGGAAACTTTCACGGAGGGAGCAGAAACCGGACCTTCAGGTAGTGTCAAGAGACACAAACATTAGCACTGGACAGATTTTTGTGGTACTGACGAGGTCCTGCTAAAGCATGGGCTGTTCTTTAAGTAAAGATGATGTTACATGGCCTGGCTGATTTGGTTTCTCATCATCTGGAGAAAACATTACCAAACTCAGTGTCTGGCTAGACTCACCCCGCTGATGTAGATGAGGGACAAGAGTCAGAATTACTGTGACAGTCGATGGGGACACAATTTAGATTTTTGTTCTTTCACCCTGATTAGTATGTTGTGCTACTTTTAAAGTTGGGTTCCTAAGAGTGAAGTCAGAAGAGACTTCTATTTTGTGGTTTCCAGGGTCTTACTGAAACCTCATTCGGCACCTCTTTTCTGAGTAGCTAGTAGGTACCAGCTCCTGTGGGGGAACCCATCTACAAAGGTAAAGGGACCTGAACCCTGACTTCAAGGCTCAGAGATGCTGGGGAAATAGAGACACACCAGACCAGCTAAAACATAAGGCAGAAGATGGTGCATTCTGGTGGGGAGGAAAAGATCAAGTCAGAGGGGGAGGTTTCTTCCAACCAAAACACATTCTGATTCTTCAAATCAGAGATGTCTGAGATGCGCCTTTTAGAAGGCCTGGAGAGTGGGGCATCAGGAGGAAAGGGCATTGAGCTAGAGGCCCATGGGAGCCCAAAAGGAAGTGAAAACACACGGGGCCCCTGCAGGGCATTTTGTCTGAAGCAAAGGCGTTGGCGGGGGGAGGTGCGTGATGGAGGGAGATGAGATGGGAAGATGGGCTGAGGTCTGAGACCTGGTTTCAGGCAATGGGAGTCACAAAGAGGCTATCATCAGAACCTGGGAATCCTTGGAGCTGTCGAGGATCAGAGTGGGAACACCTACCCAACTGTAGGAGGCAGGGACACATGGGTAGCCAGGAGATCTGATGAGGAGAAGCATGACTGGCTCAAAGGCAAGGATTAGGAAGTCTCCATACCACTGCTTTGGGAGACGAAGGGATAAAGCTAGAGCCATGGCAAGGACACGGCCAGCGTTGGGGCGGGTGAGCGGAAGTGAGACGAAGAGCGAGTCCAGAAGATATGACGGATGAGTCCACAAGAGCTTGGGGGCAACTGAAGACAGTGCTGGTCCTCGGGAGAGGCTGGGCCAGGAGACTAAGACACGGATGCTGGGAGAAAAGTCAGGCAGTGGAGGGCACGTGGTGAAGTCTCACCTCCGAGGAACACCCAGTAGCAAGGGAGGGAATGAGAAAGGAGGGAAGTCAGAGGGGAGGAGAGAAACGGTCAGGGCCACATGAAGACATGGTCTGGCAAGGAGAGGAGCAGGTTCTGAGAGCAGCTCTAGCAGCTTCTGCCAGGCGGGCAGTGAGGATGTGGGGAATCCTCTCCCCCACCCCTCCTTGCTGCTTCACTTTCTCTGGCCTTTAAGGCCTCAGCTTAGGCATCACCAACTCTGGGAAGCTGTCCAAGCTCACCAGCAGGGTGATGTGCCCTGGGTACTCCTAGAGCCTCTGGACCTGAATGACCTTGGTGAGACACAGGGTCAGTACCAATAATCCCCAGGGGAGAGCCTGGTGGTGGGAACCTAAGCAAAGTGCAGCTCTGGGGACAGGAGTCCAGGGCCGAGGAGCTGTGACTCGGGCACGGAGGCCAGCCCTGCAGCACCCTGGGGGCGCTGAATCCAGGTCGGAGGGCATGAGTGCAGCTGAGCACTCGCTGCTCCATTAAAGCTGATCCGGGACCAGAGGACAGAGTCGCGGGTCAGAGCAGCAGTGGGCTTGGCTGTGAGCAACAAAGAATGGCAGGGGACATGAAACAAGGGCTTAATCCTCTCTTTTTCATGTCTGTCCCTTACCCTCCAAGGGATCCCAGCCCTGGGTCTTTTCTGAGCCAACTCCTGAAACCAGTTCCTCCATTCTGCTCCTTCCTCCTTCTGAACTTCTCGATGGCTGACTTCTGCCGAGTGCATACTATGTCCCAAGCAGATGACACTTTTTTTGGGGGGGGGCGGGCACGATGCATGCGGGACTGTAGTTCCCTGACCAGGGATCGAACTCATGCCGCCTGCATTCAGAGTGTGGAGTCTTAACCACTGGACCGCCAGGGAAGTCATCCCCAGGCCGATAATCTTTATTGGGTTAGCTCATTTCCTCCTCCAGATGCCGAGGAGCTGAGAACCACCACACGCAAATGATGAAACACTGCAGATTTCTGTTTGGAGGACTTGTTTTAATTCTGAGTGAAGTTCAAGTGCAATGCATTGGTTTTGTGGAAGAGAATAGTTTCTGGATACCATTGGGTCTGTGGTCTAGGGAAATGGTCTAGATAAGAAAAAAGGTAGAAATGACCTAAATGTCCATAGACAGATAACTGGATTAACAAAATGTGGAATATTATTCAGCCTTAAAAAGGAAGGGAATTCTGACATGCTAGAATAAGGATGAACCTTTATTCCATGCTAAGTGAAATAAGCCAGTCACAGGTGGACAACACTATATGATTCCATTTATATGGGTCACCTAGAGGAGTTAAATTCAAAGAGACAGAAAGTAAAATAACGATTACCAGAGGGTGGGGCAAGGGTGAACGGAGAGGTGGTGTTTAACGGGTGTAGAGTTTCAGTTTGGGAAGATGAAAAAGCTCTTCAGATGGATGGTGGTGATGGCTGCACAACAGCGTCATTGTACTTAATTCCTTTGAACTGTACACCTAAAAATGGTCACGATGGTAAACACCGTATGTGTATTTTACCACTTAAAAATTTTAAAAAGTCTCCTTAGGAAATCTGAAGGTAACCACAAAACTGAACACCAGTGTTGTATAAATTCA